AGGTAAGGGTTAGGGTTAGGGTTAAGGTAAGGGTTAGGGTTAGGGTTAAGGTAAGGGTTAGGGTTAGGGTTAAGGTAAGGGTTAGGGTTAGGGTTAGGGTTAGGGTTAGGGTTAGGGTTAGGGTTATTACTTTGTTTTCGCGTTGTTTGCTGATGGCACGCTTTTGTCGGCCCGCTGTTGTCAGTGCGATTTTGACGTCACGGTTTTCTCGCCGCGGTTTTGTCGGTGCGCGCATTTGTCGTGCGCGCATTTGTCAGTGAACCAATTTATTTACACATTTATTCAGCCCATCTCACGATCAATCAGTTCTAGGCGGCTGACGCCATCCGTCCCAGTATAAAACCAATCCGAATTTAAAAAAAATAATAATATTAAAATATTGGGCATTGAAAGTTAAATCCCGGCTCAAAAGTAGAAACTGCAAGAGGGATCATGGAATCCGAGTGGGCAACCGTTTAAATATGAGCCAGCCATGCGCCCAAACCAGTAGTAAAAAAAATAGCAACCCACCTCTGCTTATAACATCATCAACCACGTCATCTGCCTTGGGGAAGGACTCCAGAGATGGACCAACATCCCAAATCCCATCTGAACATCTGGCTGACCGCAAGGAGCCACAATCCACCAATGGAGAAGGACACCGTCATGGAGACAGGATAGGATGGCAAGAAGGAGTCTCCGGGATGCCGTTTTGCTCTCCGGAGACGGAAATCTCTTGCTATAAGGAAGCTTCCTGTCAGCTTGAGTGAGTTCAACTCCAACCCCCTGCCCAAGCAGGAGACCCTCTTCAACAACAACCCACTCCTGAGGCTGAGAAGAAGGCCAACTTACCTACCAACCACTGGAGCAGATTATGATTGAATTTCCTGGACTCAGCATTTGCAACAAGCTCCGCTGGTCTATTTTTCTATATTAGATTAGCTCCCCCGATTAGTTAAGAATGATTTATTGCACGCATAAAAAAAGGGGGAATGGAGAACAGCCCTGATGAAGGGGGGGGGAGGCAGAAGGCCAGAAGGGAGACGACAAGGCCCACCCAGATGAGAAATGGTTATTAATTCCTTGGTTCTAATTAATGTCCTATTTCTCCTTCAAAAGCTCCAAGTAGCTTTCCATAGGCTCGTTCCATGTAAGGGGTGGGGTGGGGTGTGATATCTTCTTCCAATATTTGAGGGGCTGCCCCAAAGAGGAGGGGGTCAACCTGCAAGTCGCCAATTACCTCCACTAGACCGATTAGATCCCACAGATTAGGCCTCCTCCGAATTCCATCCGNTGTTCTCAATTAGTGATTTATATGACTCAGAGATAGTGTAGTTTGGACATAATCTTTAAAACTGAACTATGAATGATGAATGATACGTAGAGTAATAGATTGCTTCCAAACACACACACACACACACACGTTTGTGTATATGTAAACATAAAAACAAACAAACACACACACACACACGTTTGTGTATATGTAAACATAAAAACAAACAAACACACACACACGTTTGTGTATATGTAAACATAAAAACAAACAAACACACATACACGTATGTATGTGTATGTATGTATATATATACACATACATACTTTTCTTATAAATTAAGAAAAATGCAAGGATCTTTGTCTGAACTGATGTTGAGGTGTGAAATAAATGTTTAATGATGGATTTAATAAGCCTAAGAACCATTTCCCAGTTACATGGTGACTGGTACTTTTTTTGCCATTTCTTTTTGCTGAAGGAGAATCCTTTAAAAATATGTCTCTTGTGATAACCACACTATTGCATTTCTTCTCTTTTAAAATCCCATGCTTGTTTTAGATGTTTTACATATGCCCATCAAGAGAAAGTTTCAGCAGGTGGCAGTATTGGCCCAACTTGGACTCAGAAGCTGAACTAAAGGAGACTTGCTTATTACATGGATAGGATTCCAACAACCACTATTGGAGATATTGATTGAGCCAGGAAGTTGAAAAATGGGGGGGGGAAACACTCTTGAAAAAGGAATGAGAAAGACCACTTTAGTTCTATTGACAGTGACATATACAGTATATGGTTGCCTCCGTACTGAGGGAGCGTACACAACCTAATTACACAATCTAGTGCAGGACAAGTGAGCCTGATGTTTTGGGCTTCTCCCTCTGCTAGTCTCAACCAAGGTCTGTGGATTCAGATCATGACTACAGAAGGTGTCATGGATCTCAAGTGTCAGGCAAGAGCAGGGTTACAACTCCCACTCCTTTTATGTGCAAGCAATACATGTGGTAGCCATTAAAAAGAGTCACGGCTTCAGTTATCTAATTACACCAGCCACAGTGAAGAAATTGACACTTCTCATGGACACCCAAACCTGGGGTAGCCTATCCTGGCTTTCCTTTTAAAAAGGGGAGGATAATAAACTTTTCAGTTCTGTAACCTGAGAGAGTTCTTGCATATTTAAGAGCCACTTTGATGATATATGAACGCAGAAGCAGAAGCTGAAGGGAGTTCTCCTGCACAATTTTTAAAAGAGTGGTGTAGTGGTTAATGCATTGGATTCAGTGATGGTTGCAGGTGGTATGCCCTGGTACGGGAGTATCGGTGCCTGCTGGGAGTACCGAGTACCGTTCCGGTACGGTGCTCCGGAGGGCCACCCGCTGTCCTTACCTGTATTTGAGCTCTTTGGTGCTTCCGCACATGCGCACAGCGCCTGTGTGACGCTCCTCTGAGCAGCTGGAACGTCGCAGAGGCATAATGGAGCATCGCGGAGGTGTAGTGGAGCATCGCAGGAGGTAAGGGCGCGTGCGCGTGTGCTGTGTGCGTTCATGTGGTGGACACAGGATCCGGAACCCACCACTGCTTGGATTGCACTGATTGAAGTCCATCCTCAGTCATGTAGACTCACCAGGTGGATTTATATACAATGTCAGCCAAACATGCCTCATTGAGTTATGGGAACAAAATCCCCATATTTCCAGCCTTGAGTTTCCTGAGAAAATATGGGAATCTAATCTAATAAATAACAATACAAAATCTCAGGATATGGATTTGGCAAATTTATTGGATGCCTGAATGGATCGAACTCAACAGTATGAGTCGGACTTAAAATGGGAGCAAATTTACTGGCTAGTTGGCTGGACTCATCTCTCAGTAATATTTTCCACACAACATCTTAGCAGATAGTATCATGCCAGCCGGATCTTGTTGTCTTGTTGTGAAAGAGGATTTTGTTTTCTAATATGGTATAGTTTATGCTTTAGAAGAGCCTAATGCTGGGAACAATTGAGAGCAATAGAAGAAGGGGATGACAGAGAACGAGGTGGCTGGATGGAGTTACTGAAGCAGGAGGCTTGAGATTGAATAGACTCTGTGGCATGGTAGAAGATAGAAAGGCCTGGAGGAATGCTGTCCATGGGGCTGCGATGGGTCGGACATGACTTCGCGATTAACAACATCCACCTAGTTTATGCCTCCTCTTCTTCACCCATTTTGAACCCACATTTAGAAATTCTGGATGGATAGTTGGATTGGTTTCCTCCCTGTCCTCTAAGCCTAGATGTCTTTTACATCTAAAATTTCTGCATAGGTTAAAATAGTTGTTTTGGTTCTGTCTTATAGACACCGAATGATAATGCAGCCCCTACAGCCCCTCAAACTACATCAGGACCTTCTACATCAGCAGGTAATACACCTGGATCCAAGCTAGTGACAGTAAGGTCTGCTCTTGCCTTGATGACATTCTGACAATCTGATTTATAGATTTATAAATAGGGAGGGCTAATTAATTGGCTGGCTCGCGCATAAACATGTAGCTAGGTTTACATAGATTATTATATCATATTCCTTCTGTTCATTCATTTTGATAGGTTTGCACACATGTTAATTATGATTTATTTGGTTTTAGCTTAACGTGACATAGAGGTAGTCCTTGACTTACAATCATAACTGAGCCCAAGATTTTGGTTGCTATGCAATGCAGTTAAGTGAATTATGCCTCATTTTACAACCCTTTTTTTGACAATTGTTAAGTAAATCAATGCAATTATTAAGTGAATCATGCAGTCCTTAAGCAAATCTGGCTTCCCCCTTTGACTTTGCTTGTCAGAATACAGCTGGGAAGGTTATAAATGGTGATCACATTATCCTGGAACAATGCAACTGTCATAAATCTGTGCCAGTTGCCAAGCACCCAAATTTTGATTGTGTGACCCTGAGTACACTTGTAACAGTCGTAAATTTGAAAATGTACCTAAATCACTTTTTTTTAGTTCTGTTGTAACATTGAACAGTCACTAAATGGTTGTAAGTCGAGGCCTACCTTTATTAATTTAGATACTGTGGTTTATAAACCATGATTTATGACAGTTATGGTGAACCTATGGCATGCGTGCCACAGGTGGCACACGGAGCCATTTGTCAGTGCATCTGAGGCGCTGCCCTGTCAGCTGAGTTCACCCTTTTTAAAAGCCATTTTCACCCTCCCCAGGATCCAGAGGCTTTATAGGAGCCTGGGGAGGGTGAAAAGAGCCTCCCCTGTCCGTCCATCCCCGGAGGTCCTCCAGAGGTTTCATGAGTTTCCCTGAAGCCTCTGGAGTGCAAAAAACCGGCCCTATGGGCAAAGTGACTTCTGGTTTGCTCAGAGGGTCGTTTTGACTGCTCCGAAGGCTTCAGGGAAGCCTCCTGAATGTCCCTGAAGCCTCCGGAGGGCTTCTGGGGGGGGGGGGGGAGAGGCTTTTTTTGCCCTCCCCAGGCTCCAGAGGCTTTCTAGGCATGCAAAAAATGGGGGTGAGCACCTGTAGTGCGCACTTGCGCACTGGGGGGGTGTCACACATTGCATTATGGGTGCGGCACGCCCACACACAACCCCCCCTGCGTTCCCCCCATTTTTGGCATGTGAGCCAAAAAAGGTTCGCCATCGCTGATTTATGACAATGTTACATAGGAATAACATTAGTGCTTTGCATGGTCAACAAGCCGTACATCAATGCACTAGTCAGGAGGCCACATGAGTTCTCCCAAGCATCTCAGGATTTAGTATCGGAGAAGGCAGTCTTCACTGGTACAATATTTATGTGGGGATTTGAAAGTACGGTGAGGGTGGAGAAGGGAGCGGGAGGCCTTCCACCTTCACCTGAGACTTCTCCCAAACTCCCCAAAAGTGAACTGAAACCGGGCCATTAAAAGATGGGTAGGATTCTTGGCTGTTGGGACTTTATTCCTGTGGTAGACTTAGAGCACTTTACTTTCATGAAGCTTCCTGTGCCCATCCCCCCTTCAATTATTGTATCTCCTTGGAAAACTGCCCCTGAGAAGGCTGCTAACCCTGCTTAGTGTGATGTCAATCTCAGCTTCTGGGCTAGTCTCTATTTGATTGGCAGGACACATCCAGAGCTGTGGCCTAGAGGCCATGGTCTCATTGCCTGATAACTTACTGCAAACCTGGAGAACTTGGAGAATCATCTGCCAGAGGATCTAGCATTTGTACTGTAATCAAAGAAATGAAATCCAGGTCCAAAATCAAGTTGCCACAATCTAGAAACCAACAAGCAAATGTGTCCCCCTTTGGCTTCTTTACCTTTTCACCAGAAGTGGGTTGCTATTTTTTGTACTACCGGTTTGGGCGCACTCTAGCGTGTGTGCACAATGCTTCTGTACATGCACAGAAGCGTCTAGCAGGGTGGGCAGAGCCTCCCACCGCCACTACTACCGGTTCGGCTGATCCGGGCCAAACTGGCAGCAACCCACCACTGCTTTTCACCTATTTGGGGAGGGGGGGGTCAGGTGAGGAGGGAATCATTTTCTTGCTCATACTCCTTTGGCCTCCTTTACAGGTCCTTGTCTGAGAATGCAGTACAGGATTTTTTTTAATGTAGGGACAAATCTTTCACAATAACTCTGATTTTTCAAGATTACACTGAATTTTTTGTAGCTTCATTGAATCTTGTTTCACTCATATCTTTTTCCATGTTCCTTTATGTTATTTGGCTTCAGCTGCAGAGAACCAGAATGGCAATGGGTTGATCCCCTCTGGTGGTGCTTTGCACCAACCCAGCATCTCAACCCATCCAACCACCAGTCGCATTACTAGGAGTCAACCCAACCATCAAGGTGGAAGCTCATCAAGCATAGGGTCCTCCTCAAACCCAGTCAGCAATGGCAAAGAGACACGGAGAAGTAGCAAAAGATAGCAGGGGCTGTAGGTTCAGGAAAGTTTTGGATACCTCTTTCCTCCACTGCCTGCAATACTACTTTGTGCCTCCTTCTGAGGCAAAACAGCTGCTGCTGAGGAGAAATGGATACACTAGGCTGGAATAGAGACTATGGGAACAACATAACGTTTAACCACTGAAATGTACTTTAAACATGGGGTGTTGTGATTGGGTAAGAGATAACAGTCTTCAGTGTTTCTACTGAAAGGCTCGACTTGCCTTTTAGGAATCCTCAAATATTGTAAGTTGCACTCATTTTTTTTTGCTAGAAATCAATAACAATTGACCTGCCACCTCTACCTGATAGTATTTTGTTCCTGTCCATTATCTTCCTAGAGAATAGGCTCCTGTGAGTTGGGTATGAGTTTTTGCATTTAGGCCTGTGCTTCTTAAAGCTCTTTACTTACTTTTTTAAATCTATGAATTGGAATGAATATGGTTCATAACTTCTCAAGAAAGTGCAGTTGGGCAACAAGAACTGATGCCATGCTTTCCCAAACAACCTTAGGACTGGCCAATAACAGAGCCTTGTCATGTCCAAGAGCCCTGGTAGTGGTTAGAATGCAGTATTGCAAGCTAACTCTACTCAGTCTGGAGTTCAATCCTCAAGGTTGACTTAGCCTTCCATCCTTCCAAGGTCAATAAAATGAGGACCCAGATTGTTGGGGGCAATATTCTGATGTTATAAACCTCCCAGAGAGTGTTGTAAACTCTAAGCACTGTTGCTATTGTTATTGCTATTGCTACAGCTATTTCCCCACAAGTGACACTATAATTTACAGCAAACTTTAGAGAGGTTTCTGAAAAACAACATGGTAAAAGTACAGCAAAACTGACAAGAAATTAATTTTTGTTTTAAAATCCTAGCTTTTAATTGTTAGGAAAGTTAATGGTTTTAAAACATTGATTATTCAGACACAGATATTCGTCACTACTGCAAACATTTATTGTCCGGAGTTATTGATTATTATTTGTTTACATTCCAGTAGAACATAGAATAGGGTTTGAGGGGACCTTGGAGGTCTTCTAGTCCAATCTCCTGCTCAAGCAGGAAACTGTATATGAGAGGCTATATAGATTGAGCTTCCTGACTACAGTCACTGTGTATTTTGGGTCTTCATGCAGAAACAGTCAAATGAAAGATCGTGTCTGTTTATCTTTGAACTGGAAGACCTACACAAACTAAAAAAAAGGCCAGTCAGAATCTTCTGATATTGTAAGAGTGTTTGTCATGTATATTTTAATTTAATATCTCTTTCCCATATCATAATTAGAAAACATAAGGGGCTTTCCTAAGCCAAAATTCAGGGAGCTATATATTGTCTGACTCTCACTTATTTGAAGAAGTACGAGCATCAGCCTTCATCACAAACAGATCTAAGCATTTTAAAAGGAAGAGGGAGGTATTTACCCTGAAACTGTTGCCAAAGTTACAACCATTGTAATGCCAATAAAACATCAAAAGAAATGTCTTACTTTTTGCTTGTAATTGTGAATGAATGCAGCTGCTTAAACATTTAAATATGTTTTGAAATGCTTTGTTATGTAGTTGTTTGGCTCCTGCCCCACCTTTTTGCTCTTTTTCATTGTTGCCCTTTCCAAAATAATTGCTTGACTTAATTCTTAAAAGAACTTCATTGTTTACGGTAGTGTGGTGTGGTTATTGAATGTACTAAATGAACAATAACATCTATGAATATTTGGGGAATAAATTTTAATCTTATCTTTTGAACATCTCCATGAAGTGCAAATGCTTAATGAGATGAAACTATGGCTTACAGGAGGGCTTAATTCTTATAAACCACATACATACATACATACATACATACATACATACATACATACA